TCTGGCATCATCAATGATATCCCTGGTGCCAGGACCTCTTCTAAATCCAGCTTGAACTTCTGACTGTGTACTCTAGTTACTTTTGAATAATCTCCAGCAGTCTTTTACTTACCTGTGATATTAATGATATTGTTCAGTAATTTCCACATTCTATTATATCATCTTTCTTGGGAATGGGAACAAATACAGATCTCTTCCAGTCAGTTGGCCAAACAGCTATCCTGCGTATTTCCTGGTAGACTGGTGAGCACATCCAAGGCCACATCTGCCATTTGAAACATATCAGTTGCTATCCCATAGATTCCTTGGGCTTTATTTTTTGCCAGTGCTTCAGTGCAGCTTGAATTTCTTCCTTCATTACTATAGGCTCTTGATCATAAGGTATTTCCAGAAACATTTTGGTATTGATCAATTCTTTTTGGTGCAATGATTCCATGTCTTCCTTCCATCTTCTTTTGATGCTTCTTTTATCATTTGAGATTTTGCCTGTAGCATCTCTATGTATTGCAGCTTGAGGTTTGAACTTAATTTTTCGTTCTTTTATCTTGAGACATGCTGAGGGAGTTCTTCTCTTTTCAGTCTTCAATTCTAGGTCTCTGCACATTCCATTACAATACTTTTCCTTGTCTTTTTGAGCTGCCGTTTGAAATCTCTTCAGCTGTTTTACTTCAGCATCTCTTTGTTTTGGCTTCTCAGTACTCTAGTGCAATTTCCAGGGACTCTTCTGGCATCCTTTTTTTTTTTTTCTCTTTCTCCTCTGTCTTTGTAGTGACCTTTTACTCTCTTCATGGATAGTATCCTTAATGTTATCCCACTATTCATTTGATCTTCAGTCACTGGTATTCAGTGCTTCAGACCTATTCTTTTCTTTCTTCTTTTTTTTTTTTTAGATTTTAATGCAAGTTTATAAAGAACTTGGATTTCCATTCATTCATTGTTAAACATTTTCCTTCCTGTTCTCCCCCACCACCACCACCACCACCGTTTCCTTTTTTCCTTTGGAAAAAAGGTTCTTTCATCATTATACATATCACCACCACCACTTAACTATATAGCTCTTATTCTGGACTCTTGTCATGCCAATAATAACTAATCATATATTCCTTTTATACATTTATCTCCCTCGTCTGTTTCAGTGCCGTGTACATTTTTTATCCCCTCTTTCTGTTCCCCCCAACCCCCATATCAGTCCTGTTCTATAACAGTGACATTATAGAGTAACTGAGATTATAATTTTTTTTTGTGACTGAGATATTTCACTCAGCATAAAGTCCTCCATGGTCACCCATTTTGTATAATATTTCATGAGGTTTTTTTTTCCAGTGCTGCATAATATTCCATTGTGTAAATATACCACAGCTTCTCTATCCATTCATTTGTTGATGGGTACTTGAGTTGTTTCCAACTCTTTGCTGTTGTGAACAAAGCCACAATAAACATGTGTGTGCTTGGCTGGCAATTATGGTTTCTTTAGTGTAAATTCCCAGTAGTGGAACTGCTGAGTCAAATGGTATTTCTATTTGCAACATTTTGAGAAAGCACCATACTGCCTTCCATAGTGGTTGCACCATTTTACACTCCCACCAACAGTGAATATGGGTTCCAGTTTCTCCACAACCTCACCAGCATTTGTTGTTTGCTGTTCTGTTAAATTTTGCTATTACTGGGGTGAGATGATATAATTGTTTTAATTTGCATCTCTCGGAGGTAGGGATTTTGAACATTTCTTCACGTGTTTGTTTGCCATCTGAATGTCATCTTTGGTTCATATCCTATGCGCATTTTGCAGTTGAGTTGTTTACCTTTATCTTGTAGCAAATTGAAATCACTTAGTACATCTGTTGTTTTGTGCTGTAGAGTTAGAAACGACCTATAGCTGATCCTTTAGTGGGTGTTCAGAAGCAGTTAATCACATGGGAAGAGATTGCCCATTCTTCTCCCATAGTTTCTTACCACTAGGCCACCAGAGCTCAAAACTATTCTTAGGATTATTTAATTCAGATGGTATTACCTCAAGGTCATATTTTTATTTTTGTGGATTTGTTATTTTTATCAGCTTCAGTTTGAACTTGCACATAAGTAATTGATGTCTGTTCCACAGTCAGCCCCTGACCCTGTTTTGACTGTCGATACGTCTACTCAATCCACAGATATAGTTAATCTGAGAAGTGTAAAATGGTATTTGCAATGAATAAATCATTGGTTGCACAAAATTCTAGTTTATAGTCTAGGAAAGTCATAATTGTTACAGTGAGCAGCAGTCTAGTCTACAGAATACACATAACCATAGTTTCTATATGTTGTTGTTGTTGTTGTTATGTGCTTTTGAGTTGCTTGCGACTCATAATGACCCTCTGTACAACAGCCCTAAACTCTGCTCTGTCCTGTGCCAATTGCACTGTCTCCAATACACCCATCTCGATTACCCCAGTCACTGAACCAATCCACCTCATAGAGGGCCTTCTCCTCCTGCACCTGCCCTCCAGCCTCCCAAGCATGATGTCCTTCTCTAAGGACCGGTCTCTCCTTACAACATGACCAGAGTATGTTAGACGGAGCCTCAGAATCCTTGCCTCCAAGGAGCTGCCCGGTTTGCCCCTTTCCAGGATGAATCTGTTTGTTTTCCTAACAGTCCATGGTACACCTGACACTCTTCTCCAGCACCACAGCTCAAAGGCATCAATTCTCCTTCTATATCAAAGAAAAGTCATTAAGAAAAAATTGGGACAAAAACTTAACAGCTCTAAGCTATATCATAAGTAGATTATCAAATACAACTGAAAATTCACGATCCGTAGAGGATAAGCTAGGTAGTTGTGGTTGTTGTGGTTAGGTGCCATCAAGTTGAACAAGATCTGAATCCTGATCAAGAACTTCCTGATGCACAAGAGCCCACTGTAGCAGTCACCGTGTCAGTCCACCTGGTTGAGGGTCTTCCTCTCTTTCACCAACCCTTCACCCTTCCCAACATCATGTCCTTCTCCAAGGAATGGCCCCTCCTAGCAGCATGTCCAAAACATATGAGGTGAAGCCTCATTCTTGCCTCCAAAGATCACTCCTGCTAGGGCATCTTAAAAATTAAATCTTTATGTGTGTCAGAAACCTCTAAAAGAAAGAAAAAAAGACAGAAAAAAAATTTGGCAGTGTTAATTTCCCTCCTAATGGTGGAGGTTTGTTTATAGGTTTTAGATATCATTAAAAAAATGCTATAATCAACACTTTTGATTAACTTTATAATAATAACATATCACAGACATTTTCTCTCAGTACCAGTGTGTCCTCCTGTGTGATTAACTGCCTTGGAAAACCTGCTGGGTGGTCAGTTATGGGTCAGCTCCGACTGGACAGTATATAACAACAGCCACCCCTTTTGTCGTGGTGATTTTTATTATGAGTGTTATAGATAAAAATATAGAAAGATCTTTTGACATTTTCCTTTTAGCATTTGTGTTTTATGGTTTCTGGTATTTTTCAATTGTTTGTATTCCTTTTCCATTCAATTTTCAATTTTTAACTTGCATGTAAACCACTTTGTTTATAGAACCTTATGATGACAGATCAGATGTAAGATCAGTTGCAGTTTTGACTATCTGTTGATTTCCTCAAAGTAGTGTAATAAATGATAAATCTGGAAATATACTGGAATCTTTGGGTTCTTTGTGGAATCACTGTAAATACTTCTTCATGATAAACAAATGAGATAGACAGTATGCTATACAGGACTTTAGAACAGTGGTCCATTCGATGAACTTATTTTAAGACAGGATCCTTTTTCTAACCTCCATGTTACTGCTATTAGGAATTGGTCTGTAATTATTTTTTTGCCATCTTGTGCCTGATTACCCAGCTTGTAACACTATGCTCTTAGCAAAGCAAGATTTTAAAAATCTAAGAAAAAAAATTAGCCTTTATTAACATCCAGAATTTTGCAATTTAAAATCTTAAATTTAAGATAGCTTATCCCCCTCATCCCCTGTGTTTGTGCATGTGTATGTAGGAAAGAAAACGTTCTATTTCATATACTACACTAAGGGCTAGGAGTCAAAGCCATGTCACTTTTCCCAGGGTTTGAATCCTCTTATTTTTTGCTTTGATACCCCATGACTTGTACTATAGGAACTTTGATTTTTGTCTTACCAGAAGTCTTCCCAAAAGACATTCCCATAGGAATAGTTTCTTACCTTTCTGCTTATAAGAGAAAATACCATTATTTGAGGTCCTTCCAAGCCAGCATTTTATAGACTTGTTTTTAACTCTTGTACCTATTGGGAACAGTTTGAAAACTTATTTTGCTACTTGCCTCTTCCCTTGCCATGTTCTCTCTTTCTCTCCCTCATTCCTGTCAAGTTGGAACAAACATAGCTGCCCCTCCAGTGGGTTTCCAGGAATATAAATCACACAAGGAGATTGGCTCACTTTCTCCCGTGAACTACTTGTGAATTTGAACCTTCATAGATATATGGATTTTGGGAACACAGCTACCTACAGACTACACCACCAGAGCCATGTTAGTTGTTGTTATTTACCATCTCTTCAAGCTTAACCATGTTAGTGTTATGTACCATCAAGTTGGAACCGATTCATAGCTGATCCTCCAGCCAGTTTTCAGAGACAGTAAATTGCATCTCTCCCACAGCGCAGCTGGTGGATTAACACTGCCTACCTTTGGGTTGACAGCACAGCACCTTACTGCTAAGCCACCAGAGCTCCCTCTGCTATGTTAGAGGGTTGTGTTAGTGGAATAGAGTACTTCTTTCCTTTCTCTAAGTGGAAGACCATCCCTTTAGTAAGGAAAAAGAATGTTTTAATTGTTTTTAAAGTGATTAGAATTTTCATAGCTCAAGTCTTTTGGACTAGTTTGGCAGTAATTTAGCTACTTTACAGTTTAACGCAATTTCAGAGTGCATTTGCAAACCTGTGTTATAACTTAAGATTTGCCTTTAAAGTCAAAAAAGCACAGAGCACTGTAGTGCTTGTAACACTCTTCCATATGATTGTAGGTAACTAAATGACCATGGAATCTGGAGCAGAGAACCAGCAGAGTGGAGATGCAGCTGTAACAGAAGCTGAAAACCAACAAATGACAGTTCAAGCCCAGCCACAGATTGCCACATTAGCCCAGGTATAAAAATACATAGAACCGTTTCTCCAAGTGTGTCTCTCCAAGGGAGTATGCTTTAAACAGCATCCTCTACACAGAATGAGCAGAAACTTTTTAGGTCAGAATTCCTATTCTTATTAATCTCAGTTTTAAAATGAGAGCATTAATTTAGCAATTAAGCAATAAAACTTACTGTTGAACACTGATGCAGTATTTTAAGACACTTTTAAGAAATACCACATTTTAACTGATCAATAAATTAATTGTCTCTCAATTCATTATGATAACATCTTTTAAAATAATACACAGATTTATTCTGTGGGTATAGATAATCTGAAAAGGCTTAAGTTTAAACTTGCTTATACTAGAAATAAGACTCACTCAGTGCCTTCAAATCAGTACTCCATTGGCCTTCCAAAGTTGTAAATTGTGTAGAAAGAGATTGTTTTTCTTTATCCTTTGGAGCCAGTGGTGGATTCGAACCACCAGAAAGGTGTGGCCTTTGGGTTAGCAACTCCCTACAGACTGTGCCACTAAGTCTCCCTATACTGGAAAATAGGGAAGCAGTTGATACCCAAGTAAATTTCCAGGGAGAAAGTAATTTTTATTTCCTCTTCTGGCAGTCTGCTTCTATAAAGATTATAGCCAAGAAACCTGTGGGGCAGGTGTGCATTATCACATGGGGTCTCTGTGAGTCAGATGGCTCGATGATACCCAATAGTATTTTAAATATAATTCATGATTCTTTTTGTCTTTGTTTTGTCTTAAACATTCTTCTGTAAAGTTATAATTTCTCATTCTTATATTTTATGTATTTCCACAGATTTTTCATTAAGTGCTCTGTGTGTGTACATACATACGCACATGTGTGTATTCGCATGATAGTAAATGTAAAAACCAAGTAGCAAACTTAATTTTCCTTTGTAAAAGTATAATATTGCCTCCTTCAGTTAAAGTACCCCAAGAAAAAAAAAGCTGAACAGTGCTTCTGCAAGCCTGATTTTTGCTTCTCCAAGAGTTTAAAAGTACTCATTGTTATCTGACATCGAGTTAAGTACAACTCCTAGGGCCTGGGGCTTACTGCAGCAGTGAGCCTAAGTGTGTCAGAGATGTTGAGGATGGCAGGAGAGGTCCGAGTTCAGATCCTTGTTTACAGGGTCTCTGTGAGTCATACATGACTAAATGGCACCTCAGCAACCACAGCATGGTGTTGGGCTCAGTTAATGTGTAGAACACATACTAGTTACCCAGCGAGCATATAGTCAGGAGTGGACTGGTCTGTTTTCTCCTGAATTTATCAGGGTGTACTTCCAGCCACGAGAAGTAAAACTGAGCCTTTTGGAGATGAAATGAATGAACACAGATGAAGCAGATGGCAAGAACAAAGGGAGCAAACCGAGACTTCCCTGATCAGGGAGAAACAAAGTTTAAGTAAAGGATTCTTGAGTTGGAGTGGTTGTTGCAAAAGATTTTGTGTGTGTGTGTGTGTGTGTGTGTGTGTGTGTGTGTGTTAGAAATTAGAATTGATGCAGTCAGATAGTCAGGTTCTATTGTATTTTGTGGTTTTGTAATCTTAAAATTTTATTATTCATCAGTTAATCTAAGACTGTGAATCTTCATGGAGGAAAACTGCCTTGTCTTTGTCCTGCAGAGTAGCTGATGGGTTTGAGCCATCGACCTTTTGATTAGCAGCCAAATGCCTGAACCAGGACTCTACCAGCACTCTTTTCTTTATTCATCGTGCTTCACAATTTAGTTCTGATAGGCCATAGTTGGCATCTATTTTCATCCATTTTGCATGCTCTTCCTAAGCCCATGTTAAATTATGGGCAATATTTTTATTATTATTTAGTTGAGTGGTTTTTTTCCCCCTCTAGGATCCTTATCCAAATGTGTCATACCTCTTAATTTTTTCCTCTTGTTTTCTAATGCTTTGTCTGCTTTCTGGGAAATTTCAGCTTCATATTCAACCTGTTCTGTTTTTCACTTGTGCTATCATACCTTTGAGAATTCTTTTTTGTTTTCTGGATCTCTCATTGCTCGAGTCAGAATTGACTCATAGCTGACCCTTCATTAGGTTCCCCAGAGAAGGCTTCATTAATGCCCCTCCTTGAGTGCATGTTTCGAAGTCACATGGGAGAAGAGAGGTGGTGCTTGGTGCTCCATCTTTCTGCCAGAGGAGAGCACATTAGTTGCTCTTACCCAGGGAATTAGGGAAGTGATCCAACTGGAAATTTACTATGTGTCAGTTTGTTTGCTTATCCTGTTCCATATTATAAGCATGTTTTAAACTCTCAAAGAGCATTATACCAAGCTTTATTGTTTTCAGCCATTTCTTTCACTCTGCCTCCCAGGGTGCCTCCGATTTTGAGCTGCTTGAAGATTCTGTGGTTTTCCTAGCCTCCATTCTATAAATTGCCTTCTGAGGTCTTACAGGTTCATGCATTCATTTAGCTGCTTTTAGTTTCCAAAACTTTTCATAAAGTTCTCTCCCATGGCCATATACTTCTGTGACCATACCAATTTAAAAAATGGTTCTGTGAGTTTTAAATGTGATTAGGAAGAAACAAAATTACATATTTAATTTGTATCTTTATCAAGTTTTTAAAAGAAAAGTGACGTGATCAAATTTGAATTGGGGGGGAAATGTGTGCCTCCTTCTTTGTTTTCTTTCTGGTTAGTTTTTTAACTTGTTCATCCAGTTCCATATGCATATTGAGGGGTAACTTTCTCTCATTAGTAAAACATAAAAAAAGCTGTTCATCAAATCCAAGATGATTGTTATTTCTCTAATCAATGAATGGGATAAGCTAGTTCAGGGTAACTGGTAAAAGCTGGGAGGAGGGAATCACATTAAAACAATGTGCAGCTTTATTTTGCTTTTAGAGTTTAAATATTTAAGAAGTAAAACCATTAAAACTGATATTTGCTTTGACTATGAGAATGTAACTTTTTACAGATTTATTAGTTCCGTAAAAGGAGGTTTACCATAGCTTTATTGTGATAGGTAGATTTGAGAAGATAAATACCTAAGAATAAGGCATTAATTAAACCATTTATGTAATTTTTACTGTTAAGTAGCCACTGAACCATTAAAGAAGACTACAAATAGTATGGGAAATAGCTACAATAGATTCTAAAGATACTGTGTTATAAAAGTTTTATGTGGTATGTGCCAAAAAAACCCCCAATCAATACCTATTAGATCTACAGCAAAAATCTTAATAGTGATTCACTCTGGATGGTAGGAATAGAAAAGGCTTTATTTCCTTTTTATGTATCTGTGTTTATAAACTTAAAATGAAAGGAGCAATTTTGCTAGAATGATCAGGGTAGGAAAAAGATTGTTCGATTTGTTATATTTACCCTAGAGAAGACTAGGACAAGTGGACTTAAAATAATTGCTTCACATATTGCAAACATTGCTTTCAAGGGGAGGAGGGATGTAAATATGTGAGGAGGTTGCCGATCTTTCTCTTGAGGAACTGCTGGTGGGTTCCAGCTGCCAGAGGGGCGCTAGCTTTGAGTTAGCCGCATAGCTCCCTACTGACTGTGCCACAGGAGTGTGACTGTAAAATGGATTTTCTTATTAAAGTGAGTTGTGTGCCAGTATTTTATAAGAGAATGATCAGCCATGTAGAGAGGGGTGTTCTACTGAGTAACCATTATGTTTGTATAAAAACCAATTCAGGGTAACTAGTAAAAGAGGGAGGGTTGAGGTAAGAATCCCATTAAAACAAGGAGCTACTTTATTTTGCTATTAGGTATTTTAGAAGTAAAAATATTAAAACCAATATTGGTTTGACTATGAGAATATAAGTTCTTAGAAATTTAAGAGTTCCTTAAAAGGAGGTTCATTGTAGCTTTATTGTGATAGGCGGATTCCGGGAAAAGACTCAGGGAAGTGGCCTTAAAATAATTGCTTCAAATTCTACAAGGGCTTTTATGTAGAAGTGTGAGATGAGACATTCTCAATGACTAAGCTTGGTTCTCAAATTTCAGGTAAAGGAACATATTCTTGAGTCTGTCAGAAATTTTGGTTTTTCAGACAACCAACCTGTGTGATAAAAATACATGTAGTCCTTTCACATCTTGAAAATCTAAAAAAAATCTAATTTTCTAGTTAAGCAGCCAGATTGTGTCTCCACAGCCCAATATTATATCAGCTTGACATCTCTAAATATCAGATCAATTCCAGGTTTTTCCATCATTACCCAAACCACCGTAAAGCTAATGAATGCGGTTGATAGACCTCTCGTACTACCAGCAAGTCCGTTCCAGCTCATAGTAGAGAAGATTGGAGCCATTGCTGGGTTCTTACTGCTAGAAGTACACGGCCTTTTGGGGGAACAATATCTCACAGCCACCCCGGTTCCTTAGTTGATATCCTACCACCCGCCACGTCTCAGTTAAACATGAACCATCTAGATTGTCCTTGATCTCTCTTACCTCCTCCAAGCAATCATTCAAAAAGATTTGCCTGTTCTGCTTCTTGAATTTTCATGAAACCATTTCTTTAATTCTCATTTCTGCTATTGCTGCTGTATTTCTTGTCCTTACCATTTCACTTAACTCTTCTGTTCTTGTAGTTAGGTGACATTTTGTCAGCATCAGCTAACAGTTTGTAAGTTTGTACAACAGAATGAACTACTTGGTCCCAGGCTGTCCTCACAGTCCGCTGTGCTTAAGCCATTGTTTGGGTCACTGTCTTACTCCACACAAGTACCTTCATCTCTTTCTCTTTTCAAGGCATGGCATTTAAAAGACCTCATTGACTTCCTCTGTTTCTTCAGGATAAAGTGCAAGTCCTTGACTTTAAGACAGGGTTCTTCATGACTAGCCCACCCAGCTCTTGATTTTCTTTTTTTTTTTCTCTCCCCACTTCCTACATTATGCATTCACACATTTATATGCCCCGGTAGTGCTGAACTGCTTGTCCTCCTTTTGCCCCACACAAACAAATGCTATTTCTCTTTGCTTTTCCTAATGCAGAGTTCTTAGGAAATGCAGAAATTTTAGTGTTTGACTCTTAGCTCCAAGATTGACTGTTCAAACCCACTCCTGGAGGAGACATTCCTGGCAGTCTGCTTATGAATAAATGTCCTTGCCTTGAAGACCCTATGAGCAGTTCTGCACTGATTTCCCTGTCAGCTTAAAATTCTACCTCTGCTTTGCTCCCAGTTACAACATGGACGAATTTGTAGTCCCGGTTTCAAATTCTTAGTTTTCCCCGATAGCCTCCCTTCTCTTTAGATTAAATTGGCAACTCCTCAGTGTGCCCAGGTTTTCTTCGCACCCACCTCTTACTTCACTGAAGTGTCAGTTTTGTCTCTCTTTCCCATTCTGTGACCCCCCCTCTGCCCATGATTTTCTTGAGGACAGGACCTGTGTGCTTCTCATGTTTATAGTTTTTGTTTATAATGTCCTGATAAATTTGTTTTAGTTCTATAGTAGAGTTTGTTCCAACTGAGTAGACTTCCTCCTTAAGGAAAATACGTACTTGGAATTTGTTTGAAAGAGAGAACTGTGCTCCATATTGCAGTGCAAGTATCTGTTCTAGACCTGGTAGGTCCTTTTGCCCAACTGTGAGAGCTCTAATCAGTTCTAGGACTGATTAGATTTAGAAAATGCTTTATTAAATACATGGTACTCTGATGACTGCTTTTCAAGGCAAGAATATCTTTTGGCCCTGGGTAAATTACATAATCTATTTGAGCAGTGATTATTTCTGTCACTAAAAATAAAGATAATTCTTAGTAGTCTTTTATAGAATTTTTTGAAGTGCAAAATTAAAAGAAATAGAGATAAAAGTAGGTGGAAAACAGTAAAGCACTTTGATAGTACATTAAAATAGGGTTGGGTTGAAAAGTAAAAAACAAAAACATTTTATTAAATATGATTATCTGTAAATACTTAGAAGAAAATTCATATGCTTATTGTCGAAGTTTTTTTCATAGTGAACATAAATTATCTTCAAAATATCTGTGATGGTAATTATTTTTTCCATGTTTTTTACCATAGGTATCTATGCCGGCAGCTCATGCAACATCATCTGCTCCTACGGTGACTTTAGTACAGCTGCCCAATGGTCAAACAGTTCAAGTCCATGGCGTTATTCAGGCGGCCCAGCCATCAGTTATTCAGTCTCCACAGGTCCAGACAGTTCAGGTATGTGTGTAAAACCTTCTGCATTTTTTTCATAACTCTGTTTATAGCCTTGTCTCTCTCCACCTTATCTAGTAGGGTTTATTTTCGAGTACAGGACTATCCACTCTCTACATGGAGACATAAACATATGCAAAAACAGACATACAAGAAAAAGACTGTTCATTGGTGTGAATAGCTGCTTGGCAGAAAAGTTTGGGAAACTCTGTGTCTGATGGAATGATTCAGCAAATAGTTAGAAAAAGAATTTCGGGCTGGTTGGAAAAGACTTAGTCATGGCTGACAGAAGCAAAGGAAGCATACTTGCTGCAGAGCGGCCAGATCACTTGTGTGTTGGATTTTGACCTCAGTAGCAAACAGGCAGCGGTGCCCTGCTCAAAGACGTTGACACACTGGCACACATCCACGGGGATGTGGTCAGCCATCATATTTGAGTGAGGCACCATCTGTTGCCTCCTTAGGACAAAATCCCCTGCATAAGAGATTTGCTTGCTAGACAGCAAGTACCTTGCCTTTGTTTCACTGGCCATGACAGAATTGTTTCCAACTTGTTCAAAGACCTGTTTTGAAATAAAAAAATAAACGTTGTGAAGCATGTACATTTTGCTACTTTAGTAAGATGTATCTTTGTTAATGGAAAATTGATAGATTGTTTTTTACCATTGCATTTGGGAGTAAAACCCCTCATCAAAAATTAATAAACTTCTTTAAGATATTATTTAAATTTAGAGAATTCAAAAAGCATTATCTTTTTAGGGTTTTTAGTTAGTACGCATAACTATGAAATAATGATTAATAAGGTGAATCAGTTGGGTTAGGGATTATTGGTTGAGATCCAAAGGAAATAAAAGCACTGTTGACCTTTAAAGGTGACTACTAAACTGTAGAAAACTGAGAGCAGTATAAATCTTTAGCTCAGCTTTTTAAAAGACAGAGACTGGAACATTCACTCAAGTAGGCCATAACCCCAGCCTCCCGTTTCATATTTTTTGCTTCACAGTCTTCCTGTAAGGACTTAAAAAGACTTTTCTCCAGAACCCAGGTGAGTCCTAGGTCTTAGCTTTGGAGCTATTATTAGAGGGGAAGGTGAGACCTTACTGTCTTATCCTTCACCTGTGTAAACCAGAGCCTGGAACCATTTCAGTCCTAGCCATTGCAGTGAAAATGGAATAAACTCAAATATATAAAATATGAGCATGCCAGAGTAATCATCAGAATACAGAAAATGACAGGTTAACACTGGATTGAGTGAGCCCTCTTAAGAGCCTCTGGTAGGAGCTAGGATTCTTTTTGGAGCTGGGAAGAATAATACTCATTGAAAGTTTGGCTGCTACTTTTTAAGCAGGGCACTGCTGTTTCCAACGCTGCCAATCAAGAGATTGAATGCTTGGCAACATGTATGCTTCCCTTGTTTCAAAGTCGGAGATTAAATTTCTAGTAGTGTTGACCCATAATTTTTCCTATTTTGGTTATCATTCTGGCAGACCTACATTTTACAGATTCAAGTCGGCCTTGGTTTTGCTTCATTGTCCATGACTGAAAAGGGAAGAACCTGTTGAAAACTATGCTATAAACATGAAATGTCAAGATTAGAATAAAAACCGTTGAGATCTTCTAGTACAAGGCTATTATTTGCGACTTATTCACTCCTTAGTCTGTTGCTTAATTTCCCTGTGTAATACATCTCACCTCCACTAAGTGGTAGTCCAGCATTGTTCGTAACAATTCCTAATCAGGGATGATTGGTAAAATCACCTTCACTGTGAGCTGAAAATTTGGCCTAGTGGTTCTAGCCCTGTCTCTTGATATGGATAAGCTAGTCTGGTTCCTTTTCTGTTGAACTACTTCCTCTTTCCCCATCTCCCATGCTCTTCTAATTTTTAGATTTTTTTTTTGGTTCAACTAATTTTGTATGGTCTAGCTCTGATTACTCTTCACGATCTTGATTGTTTTCTTCTTCAGGAGAAGTGCTATGCTTTCCTTATGTATAGGAGCCAAAACTAGTTGAAATAGCACATCTTTTGTTTTGCAAGCCTTCTGTTAGTGTCCTAATAGGGCCTTCTCAGATTTGTCAGCTATGTTATACTATTGACTCTTGGAGCAGCTGTTGCCTACACCTACTTCATTTTATCCTTGTCCTCTTGGTTTAGGTGAATACTTACGTGGAAAACAAATGCTGGTGATTTAGTTAAATAGTGGAAAACAAAGGGAATAATGTCATATGACTCTACTAAGTTATTGCCAACTGAAAGATACTGGGAATGGAATTTGTTGCTAAGTACAGTGCTGTCCACATAAAGACCAGAGTTTTTTATTTTCCTGAAGGAATTGGTGAAAAAAAAAACACAAGGCCCCAGTAATTGATTGAATATCAGTTGACATATTTCAGCAAACAGATGCTGCTGCCCTGGACATGCTCAATAGGTTATGCCAAGAAACCTGGAGGACAACTACCTGCTTCGACATAGTTTGGAAATTATTAGACACTGTCACTAGCAGGTCCTGCTGAAAATTATCCAGAAATGACTGGAACAGTACATCAGTAGAGAACTGCCAGATGCCATGACATCTGGGGACATCATAGTCAATATTAGGTTGATCTTGGCTGAAAGCAGAGAGTACCAGAAGAATCTGTTTCATTGACTATGCAAAGGCACTTGACTATATGGATCACAACAAATTGTGTCTAACTTTGAGAACAAAGGGGATCCCAGAACACTTAATTGTGCTCATGAGAAGCATATACTTGGACTAGGAAGCAGTAGTCAGAACAGAGCAGGGAAACACTGCATGGTTCTGGATCAGGAAAGGTGTCTGTCAGGGATGCTTTCTGTCTCCATACCTTTTCAATCTATATGCAGGACAAATCATTCAGGAGGTTGGGCTTTATGAGGAGGAATGTGGCATCAGGATTGGAGCAAGACATAACAACACCCTGCATTATGCAGATTACACAACCTTGCTTGCTGAAACTAAAGAGGACATGAGGCATTTGCTACAGAAGGTCAAGGACTGTAGTCTTCAATATGGATTGAAGCTCAACATTAATAAAACAAAGATTTTCACCACTGGGCCAATTGGCACCTTCATGACAGACAGAAAAGAGATTGAGGCTGTTGATAACTTCAGCTTGATTGGTTCCACAATAAACACTCTTGGCACCTGCGGTCAGGAAATTAAAAGACAAATTGCACTGAGAAAGTCTCCTGTTAGGGACCTCTCTAGAATACTGAAGAGCACTGATGTCAGTCTGAATACTAAAGTGCACCTGATATAGACCATGGACTTTGCAATTACTTGCTATCATCTGAGAACTGGACAGTAACTAAGGATGATAGAAGAAGGATCAATGCCTTTCTTTGAATTGTGGTGCTGGAGAAGGGTGTTGAACATACCATGAGAACAAACTGGTCTGACCTGGAGAGAGTGAAACCAGGCTGCTCCCTGGGGGCTAGATTTTGAAGCTCTGTCTTACATATTCAGGGCACATGTCCAGGAGGGACAGCGCAGGATAGGAAGACCCAGAATGAGATAGATTGACTCTGTCACTGAAGAAATGGGAGGTCTGTGGGAGATTATAAGATTGGCTCAGGATATGGCAGGTTTCAGAGCTAATGTACATAGAGTTGCTATGAGTCACAAGAGACTTGATGACACATAACAACGACTCTGCCTTATTCTCTGTACTGTGCCATTACTAATTTCTTGTACATCTTTCATCTTGTCAAGAGTGGGAAAAAATCTGACCTGTGAACCAGGAGAACTGGATTCCAGACCAGGTTTGGGAATTGATAAGCTAAGTGAGCAAAGGCAGATCAACCTTAACTTTTTTTCTTACGGGCAGTCCTTTTTTTTTTTTTTTTTTAAGTTTCCAAATAATTTTTTATTTTCTTTAAATTTTATATGTATACTGTACATTTGAATTATGTAATACAAATTTAGGTTAACTGATAGAAATTTTTCTGAAAATATGCTTTGTAAACTTTCACTCAAATCACAACTTTAAAAAACTATAAATACATGTAATTAAAAAAACTTTTCAGTGAGAAATAGTATTTTAGTTACTTCAAGTGTTAGGTCTTAATTTTTTTTTTCCTTAGCTCCCAATAAAAACAGGACAACAGAATACACAGTACCGAACACAACAAGGAATGTCTTATCAATACGTCCAAGTACAAGTTTTCTTTGGTTATAAGCAGCCTCACACAGGAGGTCTTTTTATAAAGAATACAGAAAACTTAATAAAAATTACATCCAGAGAGTTTGTTAACTGCAAATTTTTCAGTTAGATATTTGTTGATTGTTGTTGTTTACTGTCATGTCAGAAAGGACCTACAGCTGACCCTCCAGCAGGTTTTCAGAGGCAGTTAATCACAAGGAGGTGATTGTTCATCGTCCCGCTAAGCAGCTGGTGGCTTCCAACTGCATGCTTTCAGGATTGCAGCACAGCTTCTTGCCACTCGGCCACCAGCACTTGTTGATTGCAATCTTAGTTTTTAATTGGGGCAGAATTAATGGAGTATAGGTCATTTTGTGACTTACAGAAATAGGTACTTTTCAAAGACAGGTTTTTTAAAAAATGAGCTACACTTATTGTTTGAAATGTCTATGTTTAAGAAAGCAAAGTTCATGGAGCCTAGATTCTATAAAAGTAAATAAATATAGTTTTGTTTGTTATCTTTTTCTTTAAAGAGCCTAAACTATTTGTCGTTATTATTATGTACCAGCAAGTCAGAACTGACTGACAGCAGGTTTTGAGAGACTGTAAATCACACAGGAGGAGATGGCCCATCTTTCTCCTACACAGCAGTTGGGGAATTCAAACCACCTGTCTTTGGATTACCCGTGCAACTCCTTACCACTAAGTCACCAAAGCTCCCTACAGTAAATCTATGAAAATTAAATGGTCACTTCAGCTGATTAACAGTATTATTAACTAGGAAGTAACTTATAACACCTGAAGAGGTGATCATAAAAGGAGGGAAGTAGTTCCTGAAACTTCA